GTGTCACTTCGCAGGTCAGCCGGGTCTTTCTCGAAGAAAACCTTGTATATCGGTGAGGACAGCCTTGGGAGAAGTGCGAGGGCGGTTGGAGAGCCCGGGGCTGGGGTATTCCCAGCGCTGGCGACAGAACGTACCTTATTACCCCCCAGGTCAAGGGGCTGGGTCAGGGTGGACGCAGTTGCCTGGGGAAGAGTACAAAGGAGTGGCCATGGCCACTAGGTTAGGATGTCAGACCCTGCAGGGTTACTATGGAAGGTTCCTTCCTTCCTTCCTTCCTTCCTTCCTTCCTTCCTTCCTTCCTTTCCTTCCTTCCTTCCTTCCTTCCCTCCTCCCTCCCTTTCTCCCTCACTCCCTTCTTCCTTCCTTCCTTCAAAAGGGGAAGAAAAACTACCTACTATAAACCAGGCATTTCGACATTAGAACATGTAATTATTGTAATAACCCTGCACGGTATTATAATTTGTTCTATTTAATAGGTGAGAAAATGAAAATCCAGCAGGGGTGCTTTGCCCAAGGGTACACAGTTATTAAAGGAGGTTCCTGGGCTCCACACCAGTTCTTTCCAACGGAACAGCCTGCTGTCCATGCCCCATCCCACAAAGGCACGTCCCTGGGGTGACCAAGTCCCAGAACAAACTTGCCAGAGCTTCTTTCCAAACTGAGACAGTGCAGCGAACAGCCACACAGAAGTTCTCGGGTACAATCTGCCCACCTGTGCTCCCTTCATCTCTGGGTGGCTCCCCCTTCATCCCCGGAGCTCCCCCAACATTGAGTGGCAGGGCCTGTGCCACTGGGAGAGCCCAGGTGGGCAGCTGGGCTCAGCACTTTCAGGTCTCTCCTTAAAATTTCTGAGGCTGTTTGCCCCACAGACAGCTAGGTGACCTCTTCGCAGGACTCCAGTTTCCTTAAATGTAAATGAAGAGATTGGGGTTCCTGGGGCCCAGACACCCTCTTGTGACAGAATGGAGCCCTCTCCCCAGAAAAGCAGAATGTTGCCAAGACTGCTTAGTTTCAAGAATCCTTAATTTCTGGTTGTCCCCATGAGAGAACTGGGGACATGAAGGTTTTCCCCAGCTACTCCATGCCTCTGGTCCCTGTTACATAGGGGAGGTGTGGGATCCTAGTCCCCTCCCTTCCCATAGGTTCCACAGGCTACTCCAAGAACCAGGGCCTGCCCAGTGGGGGCAGCAGGAATGACAAGACATGGTCACCACTAGACTAGCTCCTCAGAGGGAGGGCACCCCAGGGCTCCTGAGCTTGGCCCAGTGGTTACGGTGCTCCAAGCCTCCATTAAGGAAAGAGCTCGTTCATGGGCAGACTTTCTTGGGTCTGACCTAGTTTCTTGGGTCTGGCCCATCCTCTCCTGCCCCACTGCCTGCAAGAAGCCCTGGTCCTCCCCTGATTTCCACCTACCACCAGGGGGCTCCTTGCATCCTGGAGCTCCAGCCTCTGCTGGTGGGAGACCCAGGCAAGGGCTGACAGACCCTAATCTCAGGAGAAAGATGCCAGCCTTCATGCCCACCCAAACTGGACATGCAGGGCAGTGAACTCTTATGCAAGGAGGAAGCAGACCCAGAACACCTCTGGAGTAGGGTATGGTGTCATTCCAGAGAATCCCCACAGTCCCTTGGTGCATGTACTGCACTGGCAAAGATTTCTCCAGGGTCCCCCTGAGGACAGGACACCCTAAAAAACACCAAGTATTCTGGCTGGGCAGTCTTAGGGTGCAGGGGTGGCCAAGAATGGGTGTGTAAATGTGAGGATGTTTACATGCATATAAGCACACACATACTTCTCATTCAATACCATGCGTAGCAACTCATTATGCAGGACATGCAGAAGTTGGCAGGGTATATGTATCAAACTCTATTTATGTTGTATCTACACTACACCCTGGCAAACATATATACATATACCCATGTGTTCTGAGCCATCTAGATTAGACTGTATAAGCTACGGCATAATTGCTACATATCAGGAATTCTCTTAAATACTTTTGCCCTTACTTAGGGAATTCCTTAAGTCATCTTCTGTAACAGAAACTCAAAAGTGCAGAGGAAGAAGAGAAAGAGGAAATGAGAGGCCAGGAAAGTCAGCCATTGCCCTGAAGTTTTAGCACTGGGGGAAATGAGAAAACTATAGGGTTTTAAGAAACCCCTAGGGCTGGAATTTGGGACCGATGTCTTCCTGTGGGCATCTGTGGGGAGGTGGGGTATGATTTGGCCCCCTTCTCTCACTTCCCCAATCCCTGTGAAGACCAGGAATCCCACACGGATTCCTTAATTTCATCATTTGTACTCGGTGAGGCTGCTGCTCTCCCCAGCCTAGGGTGCCTCCTTCCTGCCTTTTAGTTACTGGGAGCAGAGAGAGGTCCTGTCCTCCGGTGCCGGCCTAGGTGAACTTCCCTACCTCACTGAAGGCTCTGCCTCCTTTACTTTATCTGCTTGGGATAGCGGTTGGGAAGTGCTGAGAGCCAGCTTCCGAACAGAGAGCCTCAACCCGCTGAAGCCAAGGATCTGTATGTATTCTCTGTTATCATTCAGCAAACCAGGATGATATACACATAACATAACGGCACAACATTGCCAATGACTTATAAATACAACACACACTGTGGTTTCAGTAAGCCACTCTCTGAGTGCTAGCCATCGGATTAGTACAATGCCCTTTCCAGAGGTGAATGACAGACATATACACCTCCCACCCTGTCACCGGGATCCTGACTTAGACTGTATGCACACATTTGCAGCAGGCATAGACTTGGGAGTATTAGTCCGACTGTGTTACGAAAATACAAACTTGCATGGGTGCAAAAACCACAACAAATCCTACCTACAGCCACGCCTTGTGAACGAACCACCGCAGACAAAGTCTCTGATGAGGTTAAACAGCCACAACAGACTACCCACTGCCCCTGGGATACATTTCACACCACAGAAAGCACAGACAGACAGGCACACAGCAGTCCACGTTCTTTTCCGCAATTCTCCTTAGTCATCTAGACAACGGTGCAGCGGGTTGCCAGACGTGCCCAGACACCAGGCCTGACCTGCCTCTTGGGCATCCCGCCCCAGCTGAGAGTCTCCCTCCAGCCAGTTCTTCCCAGCTCCCCTGGCCCAGGCAGGCTCCAGTCCCCGTCTCAGGGTGATGATACTCAGAACCACCACGGCTTCATCCTCTCCCTTCTAGCCTTCCCAGGGAAGCCCAAGGGAGGAGGGGGCTATCCTGAGCCAGAGCCACATCCCCTTGGGCCCAACTACTCCTAACAAGGATCCCATCCTGATGGCCCCATGGAGTGACCACCAACCAGTATAGGTGGAAGGGGAAGGCCTACAGGCTCATTTCCTACAGCCAGCCGCAGCGTGCAGCCACTCCCAGTCCACTAGATCACCAGGACCTTTGGCCACTGTTGTCAGGTTCAGAGTGGGGGGCAGTGAGGAACACTTGTCTGGATGTGGGATCCAACCCAAGTTTCACTGGAGCTGCAGCGAGAGCTGGCTGATACCGGCCATCGGCCATCCGATGGGAGGACTGAAGGTGGACCATCCCTAATCCTGCCTCCTGCCTCAGGGCCCCAGACTGCAACAGGGTCAAACGGGCTGGTGTCAATCAGCAGAATTAATGGTTTTAATTCGTTATTTGAAGAGTCTCAGTAAAGGGAAAGAAAGAAAAAAAGATTAGATTTCTACAGCCACGCAGTATGTCATCATTTTCTAATGCTCCCAAATCTCTTACACATCTCAAGGTAAATGAGTTATGATTATTAATAATAAGCCATTCATTATATGTATATAGAGGTTTTCAGCTTACCGAGCTTTTTTTGCAAACAGGATTTTACCTATTTGGAATAAATTTATCTAGCTGTTATATTTGACTGGAAAAAAATTTAAAGTATGAGGACAATCTAAGGAAAACAGTTCCACACACCTAGTCCGACTGTGTTATGAAAATACAAACTTGCATGGGTGCAAAAACCACAACAAATCCTACCTACAGCCACGCCGTGTGAACGAACCACCGAACCACCGCAGATAAAGTCTCTGATGAGGTTAAACAGCCACGACAGACCAGTGATGACACAGAACACAAACAATCCCCCGAGTAAACAAACTGGTATCGGCAACCAAAACTGCTCTCCTCCCCGGCCGCCCTCCACCCGTATTTATCCTGAAAAAGGATAAAATTTTGCCGAAAACCTCCTTCTTTTAACTAGCTGCTGAACAAACGTAGGCATGACAGAAATAACATAAGCCCGTGTTAAAAGAAAGAGCAAGAAATTTATTCGAGTATTGACAAAACAACAACAAAACAACAAAAGTGCTCTAGTTCTCTCTAGAAAATTTGGTCCTCCAAACGACACACTACAGAACAACCAGGAATTTCGGGCAGGCCGGCTCTGGGCCACCAGCCGTCTGGTCCGACTGCTGCCCAAGGTGCCAGAAGCAAGACATTTGAAAAACACACATAAGGGAGAGGATGAGTCGTCCGGCCCTGCAAGTCGGCCAGGCAGCCTGTGATCTTCCTGGCACTCAGGGCTTGCATCGGAAGATCCGGGAAATTTTGTTTTTGATTTTATTTTAAATAGAGAGAGAGGGGGAAGATACCCCAAATTGGTAGAGGAAACCATCTTTTACCGAGCGAGCGTATTCTCCTACCTCTCTGAACACAGCTTTTTGAAGGCCGGAAAGGAATTCTACTTCAAAAGGAAGGGAAGATTTTCATGTTTTGCTTTAGCGAACTCCAAGGCCACAATTACTTCGCCGATTTTCCCGGGGAGTTTTCTTCCTTAACAAATATTTTAAAATGGTATCTAAAATAGCCCTCTCTCTCGATGAGCTTTTCAGCAAAACCTAGCCAGCCGCGGGGTGGTGTAAACCCGGGCGCAGGCCGCCCAGCGAGGCAGCCCGGCTCCCTGCTCGGGCCCAAACCCCGCCCTGCCCAGTGGGCCCTGTCGAGCGACTTCGGAGCAGCTTCTAGAGGGTACGGAGCAAACACACTTTTGTCCCTTTTCCCGGCGGCGCGGGGATCGATGTCGGCCCAGACCTGTGCCTCTAGGCAAGGATTGCACGGCAGCCAGCGGGCAAAGCGGAGCGCGAGCGCATCGAC